TGTTGTCTATGGTTCCTTTCAGCATAATATAGTTTCTCTGTTTATCCTTTTTTATTTTTTGAATGTTTTTGCTTTGTCTGATAGAATAATAGCAAATCCTGCTTTTTTGGATTTAGCATAGTAAAATTTCCCCCCCATCCCCTCAGTTTTCTTTTTTTTTGTCTTTGTTTTTAAAATGTCTCATGTTAAACAACAGATTGTAGGGTTTTGTTTTCTTATCCAATCTGTCACTCTTTTTTTGTTTTATTGGATTGTTTAATTCACTTACATTTAAAGTTATAAGACTTCAGTTTATATTTTCTTCCATCTATTTCTAAAATTGTTTTTTCAAGTTATAATTTTCCCCCTCTTCTACTGTAAACACAGTTATTATGTTCCTTCATTTACTTTCATCTTTTTTTTTTTTTAAAGATGGTCTTGTTCCCACGGACTCTCTTCCTTTCATCCCAGATTTTTCACTTTTTTACCCCTTTCCCTTTAGAGTTTTATTGATTTATTAGTTCCTTTTTTCCTCCTGCTTTTTTCTGGTTAGGTATTTCTTCCTCCTCTTTTTTACTGCCAGTCAAATACATTTCTTCTTCCTCCTTCCCCATCCCAGCTATTCCTGTTCACTAATTTTTTAAATTTCATTTTTGCACCTCTTTTTTTTTTAAGGCAATTAGGGTTAAGTGACTTGCCCAGGGTCACACAGCTAGTAAGTGTCAAGTGTTTGGTCTGAGGCTGGATTTGAACTCAGGTCCTCCTGACTTCAGGGCTGGTGCTCTACCCACTGCACCACCTAACTGACCCCCTTTGTACCTCTTTCCAGAAAGGGTTTCTCTCACTCTCTTCATTATTCATCCTCTCTTTCTGTCCATTCTAAACTCTCATTCTCTGATTCATAACTCCCATATTTTTCCTGATTAAGATATACCTACTGCAAATAAATTACACATTTTCTGTAAAATATAATTTATATATAGTCAATATTTCACACACACACACATCCAATGGTTTCAGATATTTAGGCATAAACCTATATCATTTTCCCCTCTCCCTCCCCATTCCCCAAAAGGCAGAAAATCATGAAGGCCCACTGTAGGGAACATTACAAGATAAATGAGAACTTAGTTACAGAAGAAAGTGAGGTAAATATTATAAAAATATTGTCATCAATGACTGGTCTTTCTCTTTTCTTTGTGTTCTTCATGTAATCAAAGCTTCTAAAAATACTCATTCTAGGCTCTCCCCTCTAGGCATTTTCTGCCACTGTCTTGCAGAGCCTCACGGATTCTCCTTTTCCATTGTGTCTCATTCCAGAAAATGCCAATTATTGCAGGTGTCAGAGAAGACAATGCCCGATGGTGGGGCCCTTCCCCTATTACATCCCTGATTTTGTAACCTACCAATGCAGACCTACCTCTTTACCTTTTTTCCCCCATATATGCCTGAAAATCTGCTGTGTCCATGCTCTCTCCCTCCTACACATGCCAGTTGACCCCAGGGGTTCCAACTCCCCCACTCTCAATGTAGGACAAGTAGACTTTTCAAGCATCAAACTCCCCAGGCCTCATCCAGTATAAGGTCCTCACCTCCCTTCACTGACCATCTCTCTTCATCCATAGGAGCATTCCCATCAGTAGAACCCTCTCCCATTTCCAAAGCAAGACCTCCCTATTCCTCCTTTTAAACTTTCCTCCCTCCTCCTCATTAACTCCCACGTAAACTCTTTCCTTCTGAGACCATAGAGGTCACCTTTTCCACTTTGCTAGCCCTTGATTTGACTCTGGCACATCACACACTCTTCAATATCTCCCTTCTGCCTCCCCCCCCCTTTTCATGAATCTTCCCATGCTGTAATGTAGTCTCACAAAAGAAGACATCTGTAGACAGAGTGAGGTCAGGTTTGTCACAATGCCCCCAAGTCCACCTCTTCACTGTTACCTCTACCAGGTTCCTCCCTTCACCCCTGTCCTCTTGTGCACATTTACAAAGAAATCTCTTACTAGTCTCTTTGTTGTCACTCGGTTGCAGTTGCCGTCCTTGCCTGCTGCATTTAATTCACTCTTCCATATTTCTGTTGCTTGCAGTATTCAAGAGGCAAATAATAATCTTAGTTCTGAAGAAGTGAATATTTAAGCATCTAAAAATGTTTCAAACTATCCTTTATTATTGAATGGATATTTTTTCCCTCTATGATCAAGCTCAGATTTGCAGCATAGATTAACTTGGGCTGCATCCTGAGCTCCATTGCTCTTTGGAACACATTACCCCATTCCCTCCTACATTTTACAGTGGGTACAGAAGAATCTTGCATTATTCAAATGTCCCTTGTTTTGTATTTGAAGGTTTTTTTTTTCCTGATGGATTCCAGAACTTGTTTCTGAACTGAATTGTTAAATTTAACCACTATATGTCTTGAATTCTGTAGCCTTGTTTTTTTTTTCTCCCTGGAGATGATCAATGAATTCTTTCAATGAAATTTCATTTTCTATACTCAAAGTTCTAGACAATTCTCTTCTATTATTTCCCTCATTATGGTGTTAAGGTTTCCTGTTCTGTCATGTTCTTTTGGTAAATCTATGATCCTTAGGCTGTCTTTGATGTTAGTGTGTTTTGCTTGCAGAGTGAACATATTTTCTTTTAATGTTATTATTTTTTGCTTCTCTTCTTCTAGACTATCCTTCACTTCTGTGTATTTGCATTTAATGCTCTTCACAGCCTGATTCTACTATAACTTTTCAACCTTACTCCCCTTCATGCACTCTTTTCTAACCATGTTGATCTACTTAGAATCTGACATTCCATCTCATATTTCTCATTACCTCCTTCTTGTTTGGAATTTTCATTGGGTTCTGATCCAGTCATTGGAAAGGTGAAAAACAAAACAAAACAAACCTAGTCCTAGTAAAAAATCCAATATGTCTGAAATGGAAGAGAATGAAGAGGTTAATAATGCCTTGAAGTTTACATATGAACCAGCTTAACTCTTGATCATTCATTGACCACTCACACAAGAGACAATCTAAGTCTGGAGAATTATTCTTTACTCCGTCCACCACAGATATTCCAGTATCAATTGGGAAAAATGTCTCAGTTTTTAAAAAAAGAAAGCTTGAATTTTAGTCAATGGCAAGGAGGGAAAGTATGATGAAAAAATGGGGCTTCCATCAAGTGCTGGCTACCATTCCATAATATGTGCTATTTATATGAAAGATTTAATTTTCAAGTGATGAGCTAGAAGTATGTTCCAGGTAGCTGAACTGAAAGTCCTGTGTCTGGATTTACTCGAGTCTGGCTCAACTGCCTTAGTTGGTTTTCAAAGTAGAGCTACTTTTAAAATCTTGCCAACAAAAGTCCTTTGTAGCCTTTTAATATTGAAAAGTAAGATTCAAAATTTTCTTTGTTTTATGTCTTCTTTGCAGTTACAAGACTATAAACGTTTCTAACTGTAGCACAGGGCCACAATATTTTTAAAAAAATCATTTATTTATTTTTACCAACAGTGAAACCCCTATTCAGAAACCATAAAATCAAGGAGAAGAAACCCTGCTCTAAACAAGATATTTCCAGGATGTGCTACTGTATGTATTTGAGTAAGCAGCAACCACTGACATCAACCAAATCTGGTAATGTATAAATATTGCAACATTACACATTTACCCTCTAAATTGTGCACCTAGTTAGTTATTCACCTTTGTAGAGAACAGTATAGGACTCTTCTAATGGAAGGTTCTACAAAGCATGACCATTCGGCAGCCAGTGATTAATCAAAACTCTTTTCAATTGTAGACTTGGAACAAAGTATGTCTGAATTGAAAATGACACTGGGTGCTTTGTGAGGACTTGGCTTAACTTTGAAAAGTTGTGCCCTGCTGTGGGGACACAGCAGTGTAATTCTCCAAGAAATTCTTCAGATGTGTAAGTGTGAGAAAGTTACTTGAAAAAAAGACAAAAACAATGCCTCAAACACTGGGGAACAGTAAATGAAAGAAATTTGCACTGCAGTTGACAAATCTAATCCAAATAATGCCTTCTTAAATGCAGTCAAGCAGCAGTACATAAATTGCCTGCTATAACAAATATATGAGTAATTACTTTAGCTTAAAACAGGTTGCTTTGGGGTTTCTAGAAAACTTATTAAGTGTTTGTATGTCATGGGCACAGAAGGATATTTTTATACTGTTGTATCATCTCTTACATATTGATGATTACAGTATAAATGACGAGGATTCATAAATTAGTGACCACAGAACTTCCAGGAGGAATGATGGTTAAGGCTCATTATTTTTATAAATCCTGTAACTTTTAATATGGTTCAGTTTGATTCCCTTGGAAACTGAAAGATTTGATCTGACTAACAAATGGGCATAACACGGATAATGATTCACTCCATCTGGTGCTGTGGCTACCTGCTGTCCCTACACAAATATCTTTATTCTAAGTCGTTTTAGCCCCTGGAATAGCTTAAAGGACAAACATTGCTTCTGCGTGTTTGTCAGATAAGGCCCTAAGTTCTTTAAAACCAAAGGGGAAAAACAGCCAAGATATAAATGGATAACATTGTTTGAAAGAAGTAGTTTTTGTTAAAAATGAAAGATTTGGAAAGAGTCAGAATCTGATTTTGAAAGTTGGAAATTGGAGTTAATATTCTCTTGGTGACATGTGAAGCACCCAAGATATATCTGTGTGTTTTTTTCCTGTGAAACAGGAACATTAGGTTTTTTGTTTTTTTTTATGAAGCTAAGTTTTCAGAGTCTTAAATTAAAAGCATTAAGCAGAATTGAATTCAAAATACATTTTTTTCAAGGGCAATTCCTGATTGGCATGACTCCTAAGTGAGTGCCCTTCCTATTCAGCATTACTGAGGCCCTTATTTTAACCCTACTAATCCACAAGGTTTGAAAAAGCTAAGCCACCTGTACATTACATAATTACAATCCAAACACTCTGTGTATCATTAAAAATCTAAAGGTGGTTTAGAAATGTGATTTTCTTTTTTGATGGGTAGACATTCTTACCTTACTGGAAACTCTATCCTTATGCTTTTTCTGCCTCTCCAGTTGTAGCAAGTAGCCTTCAGAATTGCAACGGCTAAGTGTTGTCTGACTTCTCTGGCTTCTTCCAGTATCGAGCTGGGATTCGCTGTCCACTCTCGAGAATAGTGATGGAAACGTAGTGTTGGAGGAAGTCACTTCACTGGGTTGTACTTCTGTCAGCTGCACTAAGGCTTGTTGATGCTGCTCCATTATGTGGGTGAGCTGAGTATCTGGAGACACCCTGGCTGGCTGATTTTGAGATGAAGGACAGAATTTCCTTCATAGAATAAAATTAGTAAGACTTTCAGTTATCAAAATACTGATGCATAAAACCAATAGGCTTAACAGTTTTTCCCAAAATATGAATATGATAGTTATATATACATATATATGTATAAAGTTCTGTTGAACTCTTAAATGATTTAAAAAATTCTTTGTACCCAAATTGACTCTCTGGGACAGCAGGAAATTCTGGAAAATTTAGGTGATATAAAAATAAAAGATACAAATACATTTTTTAAATGGTTATTATTAACTATATTCCTTTAGGTATTAAGTATACATACTCATAGACTAAAAGATCTCTTGAGGGCCTTTCTATTCTATCTCCTGGCCTCCAAGAAGGATGAAAATTAAGGTTCCTAAGACAGAAAAAGTAGAAATAGTATATTTTTTATAATTGGCCTAAATAAATTATAGGGTTATAGGATTTAGAGCTAAAAAAGGACCAAGTGCAACCAACTCATTTTATATATGAGGAAACTGAGGCCCAGAGTGATGAAAAGAACTTCACAAGGTCTCACAGGCTGAAAGTTAAGAAAGCTGGGATTGAAGCCCAGTTCTTTTTTAGGCAATTGGGGTTAAGTGACTTGCCCAGGGTCACACAGCTAGTAAGCGTCAAGTGTTTGGTCTGAGGCTGGATTTGAACTCAGGTACTCCTGACTTCAGGGCCGATGCTCTAACCACCGTGCCACCTAGCTGCCCCCCTCTTGTACTCTTTAATATCCTTTGACAGTCCATGTGAACATTCTCCAAACCCATTTTCCTCAAAATGAAATTGTTTTTCCTTTCCTAGGCATCCACCTCTGATAGTCCTTTTGATAAAATGAATTCCTTACCATAGCATATCTAAGTTACTATAGCTTGATTCTGAATAGGTCTGTTTCAGTTGTCTCAGAGGTGAAGTTTTATTTTCAAATGGTCCTTGATTATCCACATTAGAAGTGGATTTAGAACCTTTCTGATGTCCCTTAGAAGATCCATTAATGTAGCTGAAGTCCCAATCTGGTTGAATGTTGAACCTGTGAATCAAAGAACTACTTTCTTGGAAGTGCTGATGTCCTCTTTCTTTATTAATATGCAATAAGGAATTAAATTCAGCAGGATTTTTATAAGTGGATTTATTAAAAGGTTGTTTAGATAAAGTAAAGTTACTGGGTGCTTCTTTGTAATGTTGGACTCTAAAAGCATTCAAGTCTTGTAAATGATTGACAGGCTTATTCAAATTTACACCTGTTTCAAGATTTATTGAAGGACCAGCTGGTTTAATCTGTTTATGCCGTCCTCTGGGTATAGAATTCTGGTTACCTTGACTTACATCTAGTTCTTTAGGCTTAATATGCATGTTTGGTGATTTGGGCCTACTCCAAAGTTTATACTGTTTTCGAACTTTACGTATGACTTTTCTTCTTGAAGGTAGCCGGCCATTGGTACTTTCAGAAGTTAGCTGTCTAGGCACTTGGGTGAATTTTGTTCTTTCAGATTGAGACCACTGTTCTTGGTAATCCTAAAAAAGATATTCGCAATTAATGTAAATAAAATGGAAGGAATAGTACTTCCAGGGCTATATACAGGAATTCCATACTAATGGACCCAGACTCTGAAGGATATAATGGGATGGGGAGAGAGAACACTTCCATGTAGGGTCTGGGAATCCCCAAATAGATTAATATTTCCCACAAGACCAGCCCACACATGCTTTATTATTATTTTCTTTTCAAGTAGTCTAAATTAATTTTTCCTTACATGGAAGGTTGACATTCTCAAGTACGTTACCAGGGAATCTGAAAGGGTCCTCTGGTTCTAGGAAGAAATATAGTAATGACATTAAAGGAGGTACCTTTCCCCTCTGTATGCAGTAAAGTCATGTTCTATGAACAAAGAGAATGATTGAACTAAATAGTTTTTGCTGGTGATTTTCAAACATAAGAGAAAAGGAAGGACACTGGAAGATCAGAGGAAAATAGTAAGCACTGGCAGGTGTGCCATACTTCTAATAAGGAATACCCTGAATAAACTATAAAGCAAAAAAAAATAAAAAAGAAAGAAAATAAAGCAAACTATGAAGCAAAAAAAGTAGCCACACCATTAATAAGCTGAACAATAAAAGAGTGAATAGTGAATTTTAAAAAATGCATTAAAAATTCTGATTGACTGGCCAGGCACAGGTTTAACATGAAATGCTGTTCAGATGATCAGATTTTCTTACCTGTACAGGTCATAAGCTAGAAATGACCTCTTCACCAGATGAAACAAATTAGATTTCATTCAGAGGAAATATAAAAGAGTCTGTGCAGTGATAGGTCATTTATGAAACCACAAGGGTTGTTTTGCTTCTCCCCTTAACATAGTTCACGCTTAGACAATTAAACATCTGGGGGAAGTATTTCAATTTAAGAATATTCTCTATGTTTTTCAAAATCTTGTAAAAATAAAATGTACCCTGGTTCCTAGTATAATAAATACACTATGCAGCCATATAGTATTATCTTCATTTAGAAATATTTTCTAATGAATAAAGCATGTATTACTTTACTTTAAAAAAAAGTACCTCTGTTGAAAGGACTTCGGAAAGAACAAATATTTGATTATAGAAAAATAACACATGTTTTCCCTCTTAAAACACATGCAAGAAAATACCTTCTAGTCTAAATGTTACATAGGCTGTTTGGAGAACTGACATAATTGTCTAGATAATTCAGGTAAAAAAAATCTGCTACTGGGGAAAAAGTTAGGTTTTTGCTTCAAGTTATTATGCAATAAGTCATGTTTATATATACATTTTCAGTTTACAGAGCATTTTCTTCACAACCCTGTGAGGCAGGTAGGGCAAATATTATCTCCATTTTGTTGATATGGAAACTATGAGGCTGCATTCAACAGTGGAGAAAACATTTCACCTAGAGTCAGAGAAACCTGGGTTCACATTTTGCCCCAGCTACGTACTAGCCTGTAAGGAGCCTAGTAAAGGGCAGCTAGGTGGGGCAGTGGATAAAGCACCAGGCCTGGAGAGTCAGGAAGACAGGATTTCAAATGTGGTCTCAGACACCAGCTATGTGACTGTGGGCAAGTCACTTAAACCTTATTACTTCATATTACCTCTGTAAACATTGCTCAAGTCTTCTGTGCATGTAACAGTGAATATTATGTTTATGCATAACAAAATCTCATTATAATAAGGTTCATTGTGGAGTTATTACTGTTGAATCAGTCACATCTATAAAACTTCAATGATAAACAATGAGGAGAAAAAATACTAATTTGGAAGTTCTGGAATTTGAGTTTTTTAGCAGACCAGCTAAGATTAGATTTTTCACACAGTAACATTTTGAATATGCAGTAAAAAGAAGGACTTACTTATTCTGCAGTCCCTCCCTCAACACATTTAAACTGACTCGCATACACATGCAAGAGAATTAGCTATTCCAAGCAGACATTTTTCTATAAGGAAAATCCAACCATCCAGAAGAAAATTATTATTTTAAAATCCCTGTAGATAAGTACTATGTAACGCTGATAATGTGTTCCTTTTCACAAGTGTTTAGCCCTTTAGTTTAGGACTTGAATTGTTATAAGGGAAAAAAAACACCATGACTTCCTATCCCAGTGCCATCCAACTCTATTTCTTGGCGTCTTGTTTCCGTTACCAACCAAAGATAGCAGAATCATTCAAAGAAAAAAAAAGTCAAGCATCAGATCTGAGATCCTGTGTTGCCACTTGATTTAAACCCTGTTATTACTACTATTCTAACTACAACAGAGATTATAACAGGGCTCTTCACAGGGTGCTAGGTCAACAAAGTACAAGGACTCATCACTTTATGAAACTTCAATTGTCTCAAGTGTTAAACCCTTGGATCACACAAACAGAAGTGCCCTAAGAAGGTATTTCAGGTTCTAGAAATGAAACAGGTTAGGGACCTGATGAGATTTTAAACATCTTCCAAGAAGCCTACTTGAGATATGGGGTTTGCTGAAGATTTATTACCTTATAATTAAGGCATCAGGTGTGTCACTCTTTAGGTGGCAAAACCTGGGTTACCTGAAGTTAATATACAAAGCTAATCTCAGGCCATTTAATCTCCATCAGCACTGAAATACTCCATTTCATCACAGTCTCACTAGGGTTCTTTTGTTATCAACACTTAGAGTCACTACATACTAGATGCACTCAGAACTAACAGCTTAATGGTAGTATGTATTAACTTCTAACACAGAGTAGGAGCAGGACACTTTGGCAAGAGCTTTAACAATGGGAATCCTGCCTCCTAGTGCCAAGATGATAATTTGTCAGTAAGACTTTTTTTTCGTGGAGAGAGGCAGGAATTGATGTTTGTACATCCTGTTCCATCAAAGGGAAATTTTTCCTCAGTTCTTTAAGAAATAGTGCCTAACAGTTTCTTTCTTACAGATTTCAAATTTGGATGATCCAGATAGCAGAGAGCATGCATTGTATTGTCTTAAAACAAAAATTTCACTTGTCTTAAAATAGAAAGATGTTCTTAATATTTTATGATTCTGATCCAATTGCCAGAATTCTATTGTTAGTATAATATAGTAATCAGTTTAGGACTATAAAATGAGATCTGGGTCAGTTTCCGTTTTTTGTTTCAACTTTTGAATTAATATTAATTTAATAATAAAATATTATCCCTTGAAACTTGGTTTACAATTCTCATTTTATAATCCTAGGACATTTTAGAATACAGCATTATTATCTAACCATACCTCTTGATTCAGTTAGGAAACATACAAGACAGGGAGTGGAGAGAGGAAGCCTATCTATCAATGGTGAAGAGAATCCAGTTAGTTGATGGAAAGCTATTTAATGTATCCTGGAGAAGTTGTGAAGTTCCATTTGGCTTTTTTTTTTTTAAAGAACTTTGAGATCCCTCAGTGAAAAGTCCAATATAAGCACTATCACATTATTTCCTTGTTAGGCAGCTCTAGGTGTGTTTTAGAGCATCAATCATGCAGTTTTCTCATTTTAAAATGGTTTTCTATTTATAGTTTTTCTTTTCCTAGGTAGAATCGTTCATCTGCTAAGAAGAATATGCTCTCAAGTCTTTGTCACCTCTTTGTGGGACTCCTGAAATAGCTTCTTAGACTTTCATCTCCTCTCTTCATACCATTGCCAAACTAATCCTTCTAATAAATAGATCTGATTACAACAATCCCAGCTCAAAAGCCTTCAGTGACTCCCCTTTGCCCAATAAATAAATATGCAAATTCTCTAGCCTGCCATTCAGAGCCCTCCACAATATTTCCTCAACCTATCTCTCCAGCCTCCTCTGAGGCAGGGATTGCTTCTTTGTATCCTTGGCACAATGCCTGATACATTGTAGGTATTTTAACGATGCTTGTTGGATGATTGAAAAAATTCTTGCCCATTTGTATCATTCTCACGTGATCTCCCCAGCTATAAGTCATTCTTCATCCTTGACTCTCAAAGCAGTCACTTTCTTTTACTTCTCTTGTGCATTTCATCTTATTTTAACTTGTGTATAGCTATTTAGTATATGCTTAATTCCCTCGGCTAGACTGTAAACTCTGAGATAAGACTGTGTTGTTTTCATTTAAATGCTCTTTAATATTTATTTTATTCTGAACTTAAGAAATAAAACAAGCATTTTCCTTAACATAGGAGAATTGAAAAAAAAGATGATTGTACATGAAACTGCAAATCTATTTATGTACAACTTGCTATTCCTTTTAAATATATAACAAAATTATCATGTAACTTTCTTTTTTCCTTATTTTTCTTCCCTCTCCCCCCAAGAGATGGCTACCATTAGACACAAATATCTGTGTGTATACACACACACACACACACACACACACACACACATAAATCATTCTACACATATTTCTTTTTATCAGTTTTTTCTCTGGATGCAGTTAGTGTCTTTATTCATAGGTCCTTTGTAGTTAATTTGGGTATTTATAACAGTCAAAATTACTTATTTGCTCAAAGTCATTCTTAAAACAATATTGCTGTTACTATATTCAGTGCTCTCCTGGTTCTGCTCATTTTGCTCTTCATTATTTTGTGCAAGTCTATCTATGTCTTACTATGACCACTGAGCTCATCATTTCTTATAGCATAATAGTATTCCATCACAATCATATACCACAACTTGTTCAGCTAGTCCCCAATTGATGGGTATCCATGTAATTTCCAGTTCTTTGCCACCACAAAGAGAGCTACTATACATATTTTATAGGTTCTTTTCTTTTTTCCCTAATCATCTTTGGAAACACAGCTAGTAGTGGTATTTCTGGATCAAAGGGTATATTGACTGTGTTGTTTTTAATCTCTGTATCCCTGGTGCCTTTGGAAAGTTCCTTACATAACAGAAGGCACTTAAATAAATGATTGTGGAATTGAACTGGATTTCTATACCTCTTAGCAATGGTCAGTAAGAATATGGTGTCTAATTCAAGGCTATACAACTAAAGGCAGATGCAGAAAACCTAAAGAAGTTCTGGGGAGAGCACAAAAAGAAAGAAATGAAGACTAATGAGGAATTATTAAAGGAACAAACTACTCAGCTTGAAGAAAAGGCCTCACATTGATATATGAAAGATGATGAAGAAAATGACCAGCAGTCCTTAATCTCCTCTGGGAAGAGAATGATAGATCAAATGTTTACCTTTTAATATGGAAAATTTAGAGTATTAAGTTAGTGAATGTATGGAAGTGTGGAAGCTCCTCTTTTAGAGGTCATTAGAAAGAGGACAGATTCTCATCTGTCTCAGGAATTTTTATGTGGTTGTGCTTATCTCCATGTTTTCCCCTTTTTCCCTGAATATATTGTAAACTCCTCGATGGTAGAGGTCTATTTTGTTGCTATAGCATCTAATCAATCACTTTCAATTAACTGACAAATATTTATTGCATTTACTTAGAAAACACTGTAAGATGCAACAAAATAGGCCTCTACCCTCAAAGAGCTTACAATATATCTGGGTGAAAGGGGAAAACATTGTGTACATCTATCCACTTTGCCTGAGTGTACCCCAGTACTCTATCTCGGGCCTGCTTCTCTTATTTCCTTATGCTCCTTCCTGGTGATCTTCCCTTCCCATGGCTTCAATTATTACCCGCATGCAGAAGACTCCTTGATCTAACAATCAATCTCTCTATCTTGCCATTGTCTCTCTTTTTTATTATCTATCAATCTGTTTATCAACAAATAATTATTAAGCCCTTAACATAGGCAGAAGCTCTGGACTAGGCTGTGGGAACATCAAGACAAACATGTGCCCCTCCATACAAAGCGGATACAAGGTAACTTTGGGGAGAGGGCCGTTAGTAACTAGGGATATAATGTAGAAGGGGGCACATTTGAGCTGAGCTTCAAAGCTTAGGAGGCAGAAAGGAGGCACAAGTGCATTCTAGGTATAGGGACAGCCTATGGAAGGGCACAGAGATGGGAAAAGGAATGTGTGTGAGGAGCAGTTTATTTTGGCTACATTATAGAGTACATGAAAAAATAATGCATAACAAGCCTGCACAGATAAATTGGAGCTAGCCAGGCTGTGGAGGGTTTAAAGGCCTAAAAGTAGTTTCTATTTGATCCTAGAGGTGATAAGGAATTATTGGAGCTTTCTGAGGGGAGTAATATAATTGGATTTATTACTATAGGAATATCATTATGGCAGCTATGTAGAACTTAAGTTCCACAACACCAACTGTGTATTTGTTCTTTGGTCATTTCAGTCATATCTGTCTCTTCATGACCCCTTTTTGGGGTTTTCTTGCCAAAGACATTGGAGTGGTCTGCTATTTCCTTCTCCAGCTTATTTTACAGATGAGGAAACTGAGGCAAACAGCATTAAGTAACTTGCCCAGGGTCACATAGCTATTAAGTGTCTGAGGCCAAATTTGAATTTAGGTCTTCCTGACTTCAGGCCTGGCACTCTGGCCACCGTACCACCTAGCTACTTCCAAATGGATGTGCTGTAGGCACATCTCAAACTCAACATGTCCAAAACAGAATGTATTATCTTTTCCCCAAAACTCTCTTCTCTCTTCCTAAATTTGTCTAGTTCTATTGGGAACACCACCATTCTTTCCTTCACCCATATTCATAACCTCAAAGTTGGTCTTTTCTCTTTTCCTCACATTCAATGAGTTGCCAAATCTTGTCAATTCTACCTGCACCATATATTTCACTTTCACTTCTCTTTCTCCTTATGTGCTCACCACCCTACTTCAGGTCCTCATCACTGTCATGGACAATTACAGGTGACTCCTAATTGGCTTCCTTTTTTCAATCCTTCTTCCAAACAGCTGCCCAACTGATATTCCTAAAGCATAGGCTTGATCCTGTCACTCCTTTTTGCCTCTAGCATAAAAATGTAAACTCCTCAGTTTGGCCTTTAAAGATCTTCACAATATGGCTCCACCCCACCTTTCCAGGCTTATTAAATACTTTTTTATGCACCTTCTGTGCATGAAACTTGTTCCTCTGCTTTTGCACAAGCTATCTCGTATGTCTCTGTAGGTAGTTGAGAAAACTAAAGCAATGCCATTTGACTGAAGTTCCTTTACTTTTTTCCTGACCTTGTTTGTATTGCAGTCCTGCCTTGTCTGTGACCTTCCTTTTCTACTGAAACAGCAAATATTTGGAACAATCCTATTTATTAGGGTCGGGATACCATTGCTATTCCTATCCTGGAAAGCCCCAGTAACAAGCCTGTCCAAAAAAGAGGTGCTCAGTACTCAATTTGCCTCCCACCTAATTAAAACCTATTTAAGCTAGGTCCTTTTGTTCCCTCAGGGAGTCCCTGCCTGCACAGGAAGTGCTGGCAAACTTGCTGGCAAATTCAATAAACCCTCAGTGGTTCCTAAACTTTCTGGTTCTGGTACTGGTTTGTGCTGGCACCAACAATTTTACCCACAGCTCAAACATATTTCCTCTTTACTTGTGCCTCATGGATTCCCTAGCTACCTTCAAAGCTCATTTCAAGTGTCATCTCCTACATACAAGAAGTCTATCTTGATCCCCACAGTTGCTACTGCACTCCCTCTAGAAATGATTCTCTATAAATACACGTACATAGAGGCTATTCGGTGGCACAATAGAGATAGTGCTGAACCTTGAGTCAAAACCTGTACTCAAATAATCTGAATTCAAATCTGACCTCAGATACTTACTAGTTATCTGACTGCACAAATCATAACCTGTCTCAACCTGTCTGCCTGATTTTCCCATTCTGTAAAATGAAGATAATAATAGCACATACTTCCTAGGGTTGCTATAAGGATAAAATGACACAATACTTGTAAAGCACTTTGTAAACCTTAATGCACTATAGAAATGCTAGCTGCTGTTATTATTATATTTCTTATTTAATTATGTACGTGTTACTATTCTCCTAAGAGAATACAAGCTCCTTGAAGGCCTACTTCATTATTGTCTTTGTATTACCAATGCCTTGTACAGTAGTGCAGTACAGTACAGTACCTAGAATGGTGGGAATGTGCATGGTAGGCCTGGGAACCTCCTCAATACCTCTCTTTATTGCTGTCCTTTCTGGGTCTAATATTCAATAGTCACAGTGTTCCTCTTTGCATTTAGTACTGTATTAGAAAAACATAGAAGAAAGGAAAAGTCTCAATTTTGTTTTCCTCTTCTGTGGAAGTCATCCTTACGTAATTTTTTAAATGGACTTTTCCATACTTAGGAGAAGTAGTGAGGAATGCTAGACTTGGCATCAGAGAGAGCTGTGTTTAAATCCTGTTACCACAACATACTGGACATATTATTATGGGAAAACCACTGAATCTCTATGAGCCTTAGTTTCCTCATATAAAATGAGACAAATAATCTCTGTGGTACAGGGTCATGAGGTTCTAACGAGGTGATGTACGTAACGCACATTGGAAACTTTGGAGAACTATGTAAATGTCAGGTATTCTGATTAAAAATTAGTTAGCATATTCTTACTACCTACTTAACAGAGTTGTGAGGAAAGTATTTCATAAAGCTTTGAGGTATAGATAAATGTAGGTTATTGATATTAGTTGGGTCCTTTTCTCCTTTGACTGAAATTCCTATTCATTTTTTTTTACAGAATTAATAAACTTACGAACATTGCATATTACAATAATCTTACATGGTTCCGATGTATAATTTAAGCAAATAGGAATAAAAAGTCTTCCAGATCTTGGGGGTGGGAGTGGGGTTGGACAGGCATGTTGTTTTGCCTTCCTTCATTTCAAAGTCCTCGTTGTGACTATTTTCAGAGCATTTTTATTATAAGTAGCTTAACATGGACTAGTTATTATGATATGACAATAGTCAATAATTTGTGATTTTACTGGTATGAGAATGCTGTCAAACAAGTAAGAATGATAATAATAATAACATACATTTATATAGGGACCAAAAGTTTGCAATATATTTAACATGTTATTTCATTCAATTCTTTCAATGACCCTACATCATAGGTACAGTTATAGTCCCAATTTTATAGATAAGGAAACTGAGGCTGAAAGAAATTAATAATGGCCATGGTCAAATATCTAAGTAAATCAGAAGTGAGACTCAAACTCAGGTGTCTTAATCCAAACACTTTATCCACTACTCTAAAATGCCTTTCTATCACAAAAGATTCTATTTTCTGGGTTATTTCGAAAGTGCTTCCTCTCTTAATTAGTGATAAAACTTGGTCACCAAACAATGACTTAATATATAAATTCAAGAAGAAATCACCTCCTGGAGCTTTTATAAGAATTGACAAGTTCAGTAAAAATCTTTGAGTTAAAAAAGGATGCTTTGTACTTCCAATATCCATAAAAATGATCTCATTTCTAAAACAGTTTGTAGTAATATTAAACTAGTAGGTATAAGATACATTCTAGTTGTGTGATGATGGGCAAGTCACTTAACCTCTCAACTCCCTAAAACTATAATTTACAGATCAGTTATTGATGTGTATTCATGGAGGGAGTTTCCACATTAGGAGCTTCCCATACTAATGAAATCATAGGTCCAGATTAAAAAAAAACAGACACAACTTTTAGATATAAGTATGGCAGGACTGGGGAGAGGGAGAGAAGGGATAATCATTCAAAGGCACAGTCCTACTACAAATTGAAAAGAAAAAGTATAGATTGATGTAGTTGGGGATATGGAGTCAGAGAATGTTCCAGAACAATGATTTTCCAAAACATATACTATATTCTTCTGGAGGCCTTTAGCAATATATACTTAAAATGTGGATTATTAGTTTCCTTCTAGGCACGTAGCTATTTGGTTTCAAGTACAAAAATGATCCTGTAAGTGATAAGTGAGTCAACAAAATATTTTATATTCAATGTGACCTCTGAAACACATTTAAATTCCATAGAGCAAGTAACCTGTAGTAGCCGGGCTCTCTGATGCCATTTGTCTTCAGGATTCACAATGGGATTGTCAGCCTCTTCAGGGCTCTCAGGCTTCGTGCCAGTCACCACAGTGCTGGATATCTGCGTGTGTAAAACATATGCAATATGTTAACTTTATTCATTTTATTCTTAGAGGTCACAGGGATCAAGTCCATGTATTCTAAAAAGACAACCTGTGGGGCAAGTTTCTATTTTCAACTCTGCTTAGTTTATTCAATCGACCAATCAACAAGAATTTATTAAACACTATTCTTTGGGAAGCACTAGCTAGCTAGCCAAGGCATCTCCCTCATGATGTCATTGGTCTCCTTCCAGAAGGACTCTCAACAACAAACAACAATAAGGGATACAAAGAACAAGCAAACACTTCCTGGCCTTGAGTAACTTACAGCTTAAAGGGGGGACCCACGTGTACAGAAAAAGACTATCTAACTGTCTGTCTTTATCATCTGTCTATCAAATGCAGAGTAGATGGAAGGTGACCTTAGGTTAGAAAGTGTTAGCAGCTGCATTGGGAAAAGGTCTCCTGCCCGCAAGTGGCATTTGAGTCTTAAACGAAGTGAGGGATTCTGAGAGGTGAGGAGGGGCAGCATTCTAGGCATGGGAGACAACCAATACAAAGGCAGCAAGATGAGACGTAGAGGGAGACAGAGCATCTGCATGTCGAATATCAAGGAGGTCTACGTAAGCAAACTTTCAAACACATGGAGAGAAATAATTTAGGATTAGAAAAATAGGAAAGAAGAGCTTTAAACTGTTGAGAAGAGCTTTAAATTCCAAGAGATAGATTTGATTCTAAAGATAACAGGGAGTCACTGGAATTTACTAAGTTGGGACGTAGTTAAGTCAGACCTCAGATCCAGGAAAATCACTTTGGCAGCAGTGTGAAGGATGGATTAGAGAGGGGGAAAAACTTGTAGCAGGGACAGTGATTGGGAGGTTATTGCAATAGTCCAGTCAGATGAGGGCCTGAACCAGGACAGTGGCTCTGTGAACGAAGAGATGTTAAGGAAAAAGATAAGACAAGATTTGCTGACTGGATATATGGTGTGAGAATGAGAGATCAAGAAGGACACTGAGGTTGTGAGCCTGTGTGCCTGGAAGAATGGTGGTACCCTCGACAGTAATAGAGGGATGTTTAGAAAAGGGGAGATTCTTTTGGAAGGGGTAAGATAATGAGTTATGTCTTGGACAGTTCAATTTTGAGATACTTCTGGGACACATGCTTTGACATCCCTGTAACAGGGGTAGAGGGTAGGGGTGGAGGGCCTGAGCAGGTGTTAATATGCTAAGTTGATGCAATTCCTCATGCAGAAGAGGTGAAAGAGAGCTTGTTTCCAGAGAGGCATGATGATGTGCAATAGAAGTGCTTAGGAGAGATTTGGAGCAAGCACAGCTATTACAAAATTCCAAAATGCCTTCTAGAATGGCTAGACTAATTCGTAGTCCTACCAATAGTGTCTCAGTGTGTCTATTTTCCAATAGTCCCTTCGACATTACTTATCTATCTTCTGTCATCTTTTCCAATTTCAACAAGCATTAGAGAGTGTTCACTATGTGTAAGTCACTGTATCTAACAGAATCTGGCTGCAATAATATAAGCATACTATAATAATAAAAGTGTTAACAGTCAGCACAAGCAGGGTGACAGTCCTGCTGAATCCCTAATTAAAGCAGTTATGTGTTCAGTATTAGGTACTGCATTTTAGGAATGAAAATATCAAGCTGGAGTTCAAATAGAGAAAGGCAAGCACAAATGAAAGAGCTTTGTAAACTTTCCATTCACAGGGCCACCTCTGTGGTTAAGGCCCTCATTCTCTCTTACCTGAACTGGTTATAATAGTCTCCTCATTAGTTTACCTATCTCTCTTCTCTCCTCTCTAATCCATCCCCTGCATGACTGTCAAAATAATCTTCCTAGGGCATAAGTATGATCATGGTCAAAAACTTTTGCTCAAAAAACCAACAGTGACTCCTCACTGATTACAGCATAAAATAAAAACTGCACTCTGGCATTTAAGACCCAATCTAGCTCCAAACTACCTTTTCCAGACTTATTTCACATTATTGCTCTTTGTTTCAGCCAAATGAGACTGCCAACTGCTCTCCATGCTCCATGTGCACCTCTGACCTTTGCACAAGCTTTCCCCCATGTGTAGAATGCGTTCCTTCCTCATCTCTGCCTTTCAGAAGCCCTATCTTCCTTCTAGATTCAGCTCAAATGTCACCTCTTTTCTGGAACCTTCTCTGATTCCCACTCCTATTTTAGTGGTCTCTTCCTACTCAAAATATCTTATAAATTTACTTGTCTGTTTATATATTTTATCACCTAGTAGAATGCAGACTCCTTGAGGAAAGAGACGGCTTGCCTGGCATAGTGCCTTCCTGATCATAGGCACGTAATATATATTTGTTGAATTTTTTAACTGAAGAGTATAATTTGAATACTCTTCATCAGAGGTTGCTTTCCTCTGCATATCTCCTGGTTTGTCCAAGTTCCTTATTAAGTATGTATCTCAGAAATGGAAATAAAATATTCCCAATGTGATTTGACCTGCACAGAGGTAGTGAAACTATTACCTTAATTTAAATATCATAATTCTATGACTAAACTTAAGGTTGCATTAGCTTATTTTTTTAAGCAGTTTCATTACATTTTAAAAATTCAGGCTGAACTTGTGGTCAACTAAACCACTCAATTCAAGTAAATAAAACATTTAATAAGGGCATAGTAGTGTCACATTTTACAGATGAGGAAACTTCAACCAAGAGAGGTTAAATGACTTGATGAAAGTCACGGAGGAGGCAGAGCTGAGTTTAGAGCTCCAGTCCTCTGCCTCAAAATTCAATAGTTTTTCAAGGCACTCTTAAGATGCTAGGGATGGAAAGATTCTCTGCCCTTAAGAATCCTACAGTGAAGAGGAGGAACTGAAATAACAAAACTATATGATGTTACAAAGTAATTAAGTGCATAAGAAAGGTTAAACAATGGCATGAGGGATCCAAGGAGAGAAGGATAATTTCTAGCAGGGAAAATCAGTGAAGGTGTCATGAATGAAACCGTAACCAATCTAGGTTTTGAAGGAGAAGGATTTCAACAAATGAAAATAGGTAAGGAAGTTCATTGCAGGCAGGCAAGATATATGGAAATGCAGAGAGGTTGCAGAAAGCAGGATAAGTTAGGGGAATAGTAATATAATTTGGCTGCAGTACAAAATATACAAACAGGAATAATATGAAATAAGTCCAAAAAGATAGGTTGGAAATAGACTATGGAAAGTCTTAAATGGTAGGCTTAGAAACCCATATTTTATTTGTTACATTTTAGGAAGCCACCTAAGTTTTTCTGAGCAGGGGAGTGAAAAGCTGAGATTGGCAGTGGTGTGAAAGACGTATTCTAGAGGGGACTAACAGTTAATCAGTTAGCAAGCTTTCAAGTTAAGAGTCAACAAAAGTCAGAACTAGGGTGGTGTTAGGAGTATAAAGAAAGGAATAAATGTGAGATGTTTTATAGGTAGAAACAACAGGACTTGATAACTAGTTACATGTTGAGGTGAGAGAAAGATCACTTCAAGCTCTGGGCCTGGGTGACTGGGAGATCAATAGAAATATGGAAGTTAAGAGGGGACTGTTTTAGGAGAGATGATGATAGGTTATAGGTTGGACATAATTAGTTTGAGGTATCAGTAGAACCTCCAGGTGTAGATGTGCAGATGCCAGTGGGAATGTGGAATTAGAGCTTAGGGGAGATGTCAAGACTGAAAATAATAGTATGGATGTCTAGAGAGATGAAACTTGAAACCACAGAAGTTGATGTGATTGCTAAGGTTAAGAAGTGGAGAAAGAAGAGAAGAGGCCATAGGACAGTGCCTTGGGAGGTGGTCACACTTAAGGGGTGGAAGAAAGAAGAGAAATCAGTGGAGAATGAGAAAGAACAACCAGAGAGTTAGAAGAGGAACCAGAAGAGAGCATATAGGCAGAATGGAAGGAGCTGGTTAGCAGTGTCAAAAGTCATTGGAAAAATTCTGAAAAGAGGTCACTGAATTTGACCTTTTGGCCAATTAGCAGGCCACTGGTGAGATTAAAGAGAATAGCTTCCATAAAGTGGTAGGGATGTAAGCCAGATTGAAAAGGTTTAAGGAAAAGATAGTGAAAAAGTACATTCAGTGAGTGTGCATGGGTCGTTCTCGGGGGGAGTGTGGGAAGATGAGGAAGACTTTGGGGGCAGCTAGATAGTACAGCAGATAAAGTACTGGGCCAGGAGTCAGGAAGACTTCAGTTCCAATCTGGCCTCAGACACTTAACAAGCAGTGTGACTCAGGGCAAGTCACTCAACTGATGTTTGCCTCAGATTTCTCCTCTGCAAAATGGGGATAATAATAGCATCTAGTTCCCAGGGTTATTGTGAGGATCAGATTGTGAAGTGCTCAGCACAGTGCCTGGTACATAGTAAGTGCTATACAGATGTTAGATATTATTATTATCGTTGCTGTTGTTACTGATAATTTTTATTACATCAACATATACACAAAAATGTTTTTAAATGTGCAACCTCTTGAGAGCAATATTAAATGATATAAATGTCTAATCCAGGAGTGGGGAACCTGTGGCCTCAAGGTTATATGTGGCCCTCTAGGTCCTCAAGTGTGGCCCTTTGACTGAATGCAAATTTCACAGAACAAATCCCTTTAATAAAAGTATTTGTTCTGTAAACTTGGACTCAGTCAAAAGGTTGCACCCAAGGACCTAGAAGGCCACATGTGGCCTCAAGGCTGCAGGTTCCCCTCCCCTGATCTAACCAGTAAGGACTTTTATTTTCAGTTTATGTTTCAAATTCAGTCATGAAAAGATACAGAGAAATTTTAGGTATCATTCTAAGAATTTTTAAAAAAGCCTCTTTGTGTCTGGAGGCATCAGGTAAGTCTAGTTCCCAACTCATTTATTGCCAGCATGTAATAATATGAATGGGTAAGTTTATGTGACAATACATATTTCTTTTCTCTTCTCTGATAAGTGGGCTGGTCCAAACTCTTGGGAGATAATGACTCCAGATTTACCTACTTTAATTAGGTAGGTAAGCC